GTCGGGAGTTCAAAACCAGCCTGAGCGAGACCTCGTCTCTACTAAAAAAAAAAAATAGAAAGAAATTAATTGACCAACTAAAAGTATATATACAAAAAATTAGCCGGGCATGGTGGCGCATGCCTGTAGTCCCAGCTACTCGGGAGGCTGAGGCAGCAGGATTCGCTTGAGCCCAGGAGTTTGAGGTTGCTGTGAGCTAGGCTGACGCCACGGCACTCACTCTAGCCTGGGCAACAAAAGTGAGACTCTGTCTCAAAAAAAAAGAAAATGAACACACTGTTCCAGGAAGAGGTATAGGAAGTGCAAGGGATGGGCACATCTCCAGCAAGTTTGAGGTGGGGAGAGAGTGGGGAGGGTGGACACTGGAGATGTGAGAAAGGTTTTAGGGGCCAGGTCATGTAGGGCTACCCTTGTGGCAAGCCCTTGGTAAGGCTTGCCACACTTTGGACAGAGTGCCCCAGCTGGGATGGGCTATAGTGGTGGGTGTGGTTGGCCCCTGCACTCTTCCTCCCCTGGTGTTATGCCTTTGAATATGTCACATTAAATGGCAAAAGGAAATTAAGGCTGCAGATGAAATTAAAGTTGCTAATCAGCTGACCTTAAAATAGGGAGACTGTCTGGTGTGCCCAGTGTCATCGCAAGGGCCCCTCAAAGTGGCAGAGGGAGGCAGGAGAGTCATGAGGGCGACAGAGCCGGAAGAGGGAGGCAGAGGGGAGATTCAATACATGAAGAGTCCTCCTGCCATTGCTGGACTTGAAATGGAGGAAGGTGGCCACAAGCCAAGGAATGTGGGTGGCTCCTGGTGCTAGGAACAGCCCTCAAGTGACAGCCAGCAAGGAAAGAGGGACCTCAGACCTACTACTACAAGGAATTGAATTCTGCCAACAACCTGGAGGAGCAAGGAAACAGATTCATTCCCCCCTGGAGCCTCAGGAGCTTGCCAACACCTCGATTTTAGCCTGGACACCCACGTCAGATGTCTGACCTACAGAACTATACAGCGATAAGTATGGTATGTGTCATTTTAATCTGCTAATTGTGTGGTAATCTGTCATGGCAGCCATAGGAAGGGGATACAGTGGATAAAGAAGTGGGGTGTGCAGATAGGAGGAGACGCAGAGGAGAAGGGACTAGACAGAAGCAGCCTGCTGGGAGCCACCACCACGGGGCCACAGCTCCCCAGACACCTCCCAGCCACCCTTGCCTGCCCTGCCCAGCACTGCCCTGCCCTGCCCTTGTTGCAGGCAGTGACCAAGCCTGCTTAGCATGTCCCCAGGGCTTACTCTCTAGGTCCTCAGGCCAGGCTAAGGAGCAAACCCAATGGAGGTCTCTCCTGCTCTTGACACCTCCCCTTAACCCCCTTCCCAATGGGCTGGTGACAATGGTCCTGGTGGAATAACCATAACCCAAGGCAGCCAAAGCCACTACTGGATCTGCTGGTCACACCTACCCTGAGGCTGGGTCTGGACTCTGACTTCTTGGAACAGATCTGCACATGTGCACATGTGCTTGCGCACACACCCCAGTTCTCTCTGTCTGCCCTCTGCTACCTCCTCCCATCTAAGTCCTCATGCCCCAGAGAACCTGCCCACCAATGGCTCACGCGTACCCAGCACGGAACTCGTAACAGGCACCGTGCTAAGTGCTCTACTCGCACGATCTCATTTAAGCCTCCCTGTAATCCTATCAGGTGGAGACCATTGGCTCAGAGAGGTTAGGACAAGTGCCTCATGTCACACAGCTGGTGAGTGGTACATTAGAATTGGAACCCAGGATTATCTAAATCCAAAGCCCAGGCTCTAGCCTTCCCGACTCAAAATGTGGTTTTTCCCGGCTCTTGCTCCCCAGGTGAGGCAGTCCCTCTGCCCAGCATTGGAGAAGAAGCCTCGGCTCGGCTCAGAGGGCGTCTCCAGGCCCCTCTAGCCAGCCCACGCCACAGCTGGACAACATCAATCCACATCTGGCCTGCTGTAGGGCATCCTGCCTGCTGCCCAAGACTCTCCCAGCCCCTCCCTCTGGTCTGCCCCTGGGACATAAGTCTCTTGGCCTCTGCCTAGTGCTTTCTTAAAGGAGGCCTCTGGCCATCACCGGTCCCTGCAGTGTCTGCCCTCCCCAGACATCTTGCCCCCTCCCACGCCAAGGATGCCCTCCATGTATTGTCACTTCCTCTATCTGGACACACAAGGTCTGTCCAAGTTGCTATCAGGAGAGCGGCCAGTGGCTGCTTGGGAAACCTGGCCAAGGTCACAGGAAATGTCTGACACCACCAGGCAAGTGGGATTTGGCCTCCTAAAGCAAAACACAGCTGGGCTGACAGCTGGGCCAACAGCGGGACACTATGACTTTCCCAGATTTCATGGCATTGAGGTCCCAGGGCAGAGAGAGGCTAGCCTGGAGGCTGCAGCTCATTAACAACATCACAGTAGCCCCTGGCCAGGGAGCCTGTGAAAGTCAAAGAGGACAGGCCCGCTGTGGGCCAGGGACCTCAGTCCTGCACTGCCACTCACACATGGGAAAACTTCACCAAGGTCTGGAGGCCCACATTCCTCATCCCTGCCTTGCAGCCCACCTCATTCATTTATTCATTCAACTTATGTGACTGGGCACCTACAGTGTGCCAGGCATGGCCTTAGGTACCAGGGACATATTCACGAATGAGCAGGACACAGTCCCTGCTCTCAGGAAGCTCCTGGTCCAGTGAGCAAATAAACAGACCATCCCAAGGTGGAGTGAAAAGTGCTATGCCAGGGAAGCAGGAAGCCTTGGCTCCTCCTGGCCTCCGAGCAGCACACGGGCTGGTGCCCGTGGCTTCAGGTGCAGAGTGAGAGTTTAAAGCCAAGTGGGCCTTGTTAGGCTAACTCTGTAGTTTGGACCAAGTGTCAGAGGGCAAGTATGAACTGAGCACTTTCTATAAGCTCGCCACTGTGGGAGGAGCTTTGGGGAAGTCTGGGGTGCTAGGTGGAGTGGCTGCCTTGCAGGGCGCAGGCTGAACATTCTAAGCGCAGGTGCAGGGCACAGACCCACAACGACGTGTGCCAGGGAGTAAGTGCTGCAGGGGTCCCGTAGCTGCGTGGACGTGATCAGGGCAGTGGGGGAAGTGGGACTAGGCCTTGAAGAATGGGGAGCAATCAGATGGGCTGGAAGATGGAGCAAGTGACTTCAAACAGCTCTGTCTTTTTTTGTTTTGTTTTGTTTTGTTTTTTGAGACAGAATCTTGCTCTGTTGCCCAGGCTAGAGTGCCATGGCATCAGCCTAGCTCACAGCAACCTCAAACTCCTGGGCTCAAGCAATCCTTCTTCCTCAGCCTCCTGAGTAGCTGGGACTACAGGCACGCACCACCATGCCTGGCTAATATTTTCTATATATTTTTAGTTGTCTAGCTAATTTCTATTTTTAGTAGAGACGGGGTCTCGCTCTTGCTCAGGTTGGTGTCGAACTCCTGACCTTGAGTGATCTGCCCACTGCGGCCTCCCAGAGTGCTAGGATTATAGGCATGAGCCACCATGCCTGGCCAAATGGCTCTGCTTTAAGGGTGTGAGGGGCAGAGTGACCTGCCAGGCAACCTCAACATGTACACACACGGGGTCAATGCATCGAAATGAACGAATTCCACAAGCCAAGAGACTGCAGGGGAAACCCTCGCTGGAAGGACTCTGTGCCCACGTTGGCCCTGAGCTGGCACCACTGGTGTTCCTCCAGTGACTTCATGCTAGGCAGACTGCCTGGGACCCTCAGCTGGGACCAATCAGAATATGGTCCAGGCCCTGCCCACCTGCTCAAAGCCAATCCCAGACCCTCTGTATTGTCCACTGGGAGTGGGGCGTGGAGGCCCCTTAGCTCTGTTCCTTGTTACCCAGCATCCCCAGGTCTCAGCTGCGGAGTTTGGCTTTTCTGCTCCCTAGGCCTCATTTGGAGGCCTTGGAGCTCCCTAGGCCTCGATTTGAGTCCATCCTTCCTTTCTTCCTGCTCCTAGCTGCCCTCGGAAACTATCTGCATGAGTGCTCAGGGCCCTGGAACCCACCTTATCAAGTCCCTGGTCTGCCTGGCCTCACACCCTCTCAAGTTGCTGGACAACTTCTACGTCCTTTCCTTTCTCTCCCTCCCACTCAACTGGCCTCTCCTGACCTTTCCCGATGGGGATCTAACCTCAAGGTCAGCCTCTTCTCCCTGATTCTCCTAGGCTCTCAGAGGACAAGGCCTTTTTCTCCTTAGTTCAGCAAGACAAGTTTGCAACATTTCAGAAAGAACTTCTGAAGTAGCAAGCAAATGGAAAACCTAACCTGAAAAACCAAAAAGAAAACACAGCCCCCTAGAAATGGACCAGTTTATGAAGTTCAGATTTCCTGTCCTGAGCTAGAAAAAGTCTAGCCAGATTGGCTGGCAAGCAGGCCGGGAATCCTGCCCATGAACACTCCCCTTGTTCAGTTTTCATTCTGCTCCCTTCCCCGGGGCTGCTTCTCCTCCCCTCTAAGCTGGACGGTGAGTAAACCAAAGGGGCTTCTGGCAGAGGAGTCCTTCCTCCATCACACAGACATGGGGAGGAGGAGGGGAGGGGAGAGAGGAGGAGGAGGGGGAGGGACCTTTATAAAGAACTTACTTATGCACCAGGCACTGTTCTAAGCACATTCCTTACATGAATTAATTGGCTTCTTACAATTCTGTAACCTAGGCATTATCATTGTCCCCACCTTACTGATGAGGAATCAGAGGCACAGAGAGGTTAAGTTACTTGCCCACATCACCACTAGGAAGTAGCAAAGTTGGGATTCCACCAAAGAGACCCAGATCCCAGGGACATGCCTTCAACAGCTCTCTTCCAGGCAGGCGCCTTCCCCTCCCTCATCCCCCTCCACTCCTGTGGCTCTCCTGCTCACACTTCTGTTAGGCAGGGGAAGGGGAGGAGGGAAAGAAGAACAACTTCGGCCTTCACCGCACGGTCCAAAGCCCTCCTGAGAGAGACTGAGCCCAGACCCTGAGGTCCCCTTGCGGAGGGGACTTACCTAGCCACTGTCGGCTGTGGGGCCAGCGGCTGTGTCCTGGCCACAGTGCTTTCTCTGGCCGGGCTGCTCCTGCGCAGGTTGGGCAAACGCTCGGCCCAGCGTCGGGGGGCCGTCCTGGAGTTATGGGGGTCGAACTCCTCGTCAGGAATGACCTCCTCGCAGCGGGCTCCTCGGAAGCCGGAGCGGCAGACGCAGAGCTGGGGCCGGCTGCAGGAGCCACGGTTCTGGCACGGTGGCTGGCACACAGCTGGGGAGACAAGGAGAGAGATGACAGCAGCTGCCAGGGGCCTTGGGGAGCCTCCTGCCCGAGGGAGAGGACTGCAGGCCCCACCAGCAGGGAGCCACACTCCTGGCCTCAGCAGGCTCCCTGGCCACTTCTCTCTCCTCTGCCACAGACTCCAGGATGAGTTGCCTTTGGTCTGTCACAGCGCAGGAAAGACTGCATGACCAGAGCTGTGGAGCAGGCTCAGGCCACCGCTCCCCACAGAACACCCTGAAGGGGGAGGGCACTGCCTGACATTGAATTTTATTATTAAATGCTCACTCCTTCCTGAATGGAAGCCCAGGGGGGCAGACAGTAGCCCCAGAACTTAGAATAGACACTCACAGAGCAGATTCTTGACAGGTACTGAGTGAATGAATCAGTCAGTCCCCTTTACAGGAAAGGGCTCAGCATTGGCCTGAAAGTCAGGGAGGTCGAGCTGTTGGGGTGTTTTCTGTCACTCACAAGCTGTGTGATCTTGACTTCACTGAGCCTCAGTTTCCTTGTGAGTGACATGAGGGGGCGGCTGAGGAGGCGGGGGTGGGGGGCTCTCAAGGTCTCTCAGAGGCTGGACAGAGTCTCTCCTCTCCTTCCCACCCTGACAGCATCTGCTGTCAATCTCCACCCTGCTTAACAAGGCAGGCCCTGGCTGGGAGCTGGGAGCTGGCTCCAGGCTGGACAAGGTGGGGCTGAAACTGGGCCCCTTCCTTCTAGTCAGCACCTGCAGCAGCCACAGCCTCCCAGGCCAACTCTCTCCCCAAGCCCCTCATCACCTTGCAAAGTCCAGAGCCACATCCAGTATCTGCGGCCCGGGGAGAGTCGCATGCAGAAGCACATGTGGGGATACAGAGCCGGGCCACCCACCCCGGGGACCTCCCCTGATGACCATGTGTCAGCCCAGGAGAGCAAGGTCTGGCTTATGGTGGACCCTCTAAACACAATGTCTCATCCATCTGTCACTCATTCATTCAACAAACAGTGGCTGAGCCCTACCAAGTGCTAGGCACTGGGGAACAAGTCCTTGTCTAGTGGGGCTCACAGTCCCATAAGGGAGACCAGTAAGAAGCAAGAAAACAGCAGCAAGTTGCAGTATCAGGGGCTGTGAAGACAATTAACTAAAGCGATGCAGTGTTCCAGGCCCAACCAGGAGATCCAGACGGGGTGGGCAGGGCGCCTCTCTGCAGAGTGAGATGGGAGGTGCACCAGCGTAGGCCTGGGCAGGCTCCCCGGCAGAGGGCTAGACAAGGGCAAAGCTCTGCACCCTGCAAGGAACGTGGCTTGCTCAAGGAGCCACAAGAGATCCAGGGAGGCTGGGGCTTGGTGGCAGAGTAGACAAGGCCAGTGAGGAAGAGGAGGCAGACACACAGACCTTGTCACCTCAGTTGTTCTAAGTGCGCTTGTGAAACTACTGGGCACTACTGTTCAGACCAGGCGCCTGGGGTTTCATGACCTTAACTCTCCTTTCTCAGGCCAGTACTAGAAACCAAACCAGGGGCCAGTCTGGATAATTATCTCCGAAATTCCACCTGGCTCATGTTACCTCCCTCTGAGACCTTTAGTGACACCTGGTGTCTTTAGGACTCCAGTCCATAGCACTGAAGACCCTCCCCAGTCCGATCCTTCTGTAGTATTGCTCTATGTCAGCCTGCTCCAGCCAAACTGGCCCGCTGGCTATGGCCCCAAGGTAGCCTCTGCTGTCTCTTCTCTCTGCCTGTGCACGAGCTGTGGCCCCTTCCTGGATTCTTTCCCCATCCTCTTCACCTCCCTACGTCTTTTTGTTCTCTCAAGCCTCAGCTCCCTTTCCCTGACATCCACCTCTTGGCAACTGCTTCCTTTTCTGAACAACAAGGAAAAGCCCTTACTGTGTACACCAATCACTGGGCATGCTCTGTGTGCCACCATTAGTTTTTCTATATATGTGTCTCATTTTCCCCACTCCTAAGGTCAGCTCCTTCAAGTGTAGTGATTGTCCCTGACACCTCTTTGTATCTTTAGTGCCTCACATGTGCCTAACAATGACACAACTATTGCTTTTTATTATGGCAGCTGCTGTCCAGTGAATGCTGACAATATGCCTGGCACTGTGCTTTGCCTATATCATCTCATTTAATCTTTACAACAATCCCAAGCAGCAGGTGAGATTATGGTTCCCATTTTACAGATAATCTCTCTGAAGCTCAGAGAGATTAAGAGACTTGCCTGAGGTCGCCCAGTTAGTTAATGGTAGAGTCTGGATTCAGATCTAGACCTGTTTGGCTGAAAAGTCCAGGCTCTTTCCACCCCACTGACTCCCAGAAGGGCAGGTATGGCTCTCATTCCTCCCCACTACCTCTGAGCCTTGGCCCAACGCTGACGATGAACAAAGAGGGATCCATTGGCTGCAAGTCAGCCACTGAATGCACCCTTGGGAGTCCTGCCCTGGGAAGCTGCATATCCCAGGTTGGCCCTGGTGGTGGAGACCCCAGAATCCCATGCCCCTCCAAAGCCCACACAGTAAATTTTAGATAATGAGGGAAGATGTATACCAGCTCATTGGTTCATTCAATGCACATTCATAGAGCACTCACTAGGTATGAGGCTTGTGACAGAGTCTCAAGCACACCATCCGACATGGAAAGCAGGACACTTAGGCCCTGGGACAAGTGCTGTGTCAGTCGATGCCTCTAACCCAGGCTGAGACAGGGAGTAGGGAAAGTCAGAGAAGGCTTCCTGGAGGAGGTGATGCTGGCCAGAGACACAAACCATGAGTAGATTGGGCATGATGCTCACCAACGGCACCCAAGCCAGCCTGCCAAATGAGTGGATAGTGGAAAGACAATAGGTCTCACTACAATATTCCAACCATGAGTAGCATCCTAAGCACAGAACATTTTCCTTAGCTCCTGGGCACTCCTTCTAGGTAAGCAGATCATGTCAGAGAATTGTTACCCAGAGCATATCCTCAAACACAAGCTGCCATGATGGCAGGACTTTGGCCTGTCACCTGGCTACCACTCCATCTGCCCAAGCAGACACAGCCCCCACCTGCCCACCTGCCAGGCTCCTGTCACTACCAGCACCAGAAGCATGGTCATCTGGGGCCAGCCCAGCAGCCAAGCCAGGGCCTGTGAACACTGAGGGAGCCCATGTGTCCAGGACAGGTCCTGGCCCTGTTTTTGTTTTGTTTGTTTCAGTGGGGGTGCAGAAAGGGAAGGCCTGAGCAGTTTCTCACGTGGACCCACACTCTCTGTCGGCATGGGTGAGAGGAAGGTCATGCAGCTTCCACCTCTGAGTAGGTGGTCCTTGCTCCAAAGACCACCTTTGGAAAACAGTCTGCCTTCCATCCTTCCCTTGCAAAGCCCCGAGGATGGCCCATTCTTGACTTAACAGTAAGATCTTTCACTCTCTAGAAACCCAAGACCCCAAACCCTGTAAGCCAAGCCCCTGTCCCTTACCGTGACTCCCTTAATTCTGGTTCTGCCTTACTTGCCAATACATTGTGCAAACATTTTGTGAGCACTCTGCCTTGGTCACACTGGGTGCTGGGGGCACAGAGACCAACAGCCTGGGCCCTGCACAGAGGAAGCTCTGCCCAGTGGTGGCTTCTCACGCCCATGGAAGCCCCTTGCCAAGCAGGGAATTAGGTCCTCAATGAGCACCTGGGTTGGCAAACTTTGGTTGGAACAATGAACAGCTCATGGGAAATGAGTGGTTGGGAGAAAACTGTGGAAATGGCATTTTATATATGTGTATAATATCATGGTAAATGAAAGTTGTAAAAGGCTTCTTTCTAAACTAGCCAGACGGGTTGGTGGAAAAAGCCCAGAAGGGAAGATAACCCTTCTGGAACAATGATTTAGGCAATTGCACAGAGGTCCAGTCTGCTGAGGCAGATCCTCCAACAAGTTTCAGATTTTTGGAGGTTTTGAACCGGCTCTCACCAGCTTCACCTGGGTGCTCTCTCATTTTGCTTTCGCAAGTCTCAGCAAGATGTGAAGAACTACCTGACTTCCTTACTAAAGCGTTTAAGGACTATGTTCTGAGCCGAGTGTATGCATTATGGGATTGGTGCACGGACTCCTATCCTCTCTCTCTAGTCCCCCAAAAGTCACCCCCAGTAGCTCACAAGGAAGGCTCCAAGTGCTTGACCATGAAAGGGAACATTCTGACAGTTTTTACTGGTCTGCCATAAAATAAGAAAAGTAAATACAATTTCCTGAGGTTTTTATAATGTTATTTCTTCCCATTTAAAGAGTGTCTTGCGATTATGTCTTTTCTCTCTCTCTCTCTCTCTTTTGGTGGTAAAATGTTATTTTTAATTAAAGATGATGGCAAATGATGGGTTTTTTTCTTTTGTTTTTTCCTAACATCCTCACTTGGAAAAATGAAAAGCTGGCCACTATGTGTTGGTACTTAAGATATTTTTGGATATTTTACTGGTGCATGAAATCCAGTGACCCTTGAAGAGGGAGGGGCAGTAGTGGCTGTGTGTCCTTTGTCTAAGGGAGACTGAAGCAAAACATTCCGGTGTCAAATGAGCACAGATTTCAAAACTTTAAACATCAAAAAGGAAGTCAGCCATCTCAGAATCGCCAGTGGTGGCAGAGCTGTTGCTTAAGCAAACAAAGAAATGCTGAAGGCTCCAGGAGAGCAGATCCCTGCAGAGCTGTGGGAAGTTTAAGAGAGAAAACCTCCAACCATGGTGGCAAACTTCATGTTTTGCCCTTGGAGCGTCATCCCTCCCACTTTTCCTCAAGAGTAGAGATCATATTTGAGAATCAACCGAGCATGGGTTGTGTGGCTCTCATGGATCTCCACTGAGTGACTGTTGGTGGAGGGCTAACAAGCATGGTGCCCCGAGGTCCATGTTCAGCCCTCCAAGGCTGATCTTCACCAGGCAGAGCACACTCAGCTGTCCCCGTTGAAGAATAGCCTCAGGCCTCTGGAAGGCTACACCGTGGGCAGCCTCCCTGTGCCCACTCACCAATGCCTGTCTTTAGCCATTC